GGGGAGGGGGGAGAGAAAAAGAGAGAGAAAGAAAAAAAGAGGAAAAAGAAAATGAGGAAAAAGAAAATGAGGAAAAAGAAAAAGAAAGAAAAAGAAAGAGAAAAAGAAAGAGAAAGAGAAAAAAGAAAAAGAAAAAGAAAAAGAGAGATTTCCGCAAGTGTATTTCCACATAAACTATGGTTTATGGACAATCTAACTGCTACAACAAGCATAAACTAACCATGTAATCACAACAAACAAGGCTAAACATGGAGTTGGCTAGTTACAGCTGGTTGCAAATAGATGGAGAGATAATAGATTAGCAATCTCCTCTAGGATTGCTCATTCTCCAAAAAATAAAATAAATAAATAAACCATCATGGCCTGCTGCTTGTACCCTAGCCATCATCAACCTCTAGTAGACATTGCCACAACAGAGATGCAAGCCGGAAACACCGACTCGCCTACGAGGGAACAGCTTCCTAAGCAGAGTAAACGAACAGACAACTCTATGGGTTCAGTGAAAAAATGTGTGTGTTAGATAGTCCTATCATGAATTTAATTGGGTAAATGGCCTAGATATTAATATACAGCTAGTCCTCAACTTATAACAGTTCGTCTAGGGACTGTTTGAGGTTACAACGGCATTGAAAAAAAGTGACTTATGACCGTTTTTCACACTTACGACCATTGCAGCATCCCTATGGTCACATGATCAAGATTGGCAAAAGCTGGGCAACTGGCATGTACTTATGACAGTTGTTATGGGTCACGTGATCCCTTTTTGCGACCCTCCGGATGAGCAAAGTCAGTGAGGAAGCCAGATTTAATTAACACCCGTGTTACTACCTTAACAACTGCAGTGATTCACTTAACAACGGTGGCAAGAGAAGTCGTAAAATGGGGCAAAATTCACTTAACTGTATCTTGTCTTTTTATGTACACTGAGAGCGTATGCACCAAAGACAAATTCCTTGTGTGTCCAATCACACTTGGCCAATAAAGAATTCTGTTCTATTCTATTAACAACTGTCTCACTTAGCAAGAAATTTTAGGGGCTCAATTGTGGTCATAAATCGAGGACTACACTTATTTTACCTTATGAACTAACTTATATTTTAAAATGTAACTTGTAACCTAATATATGACTTCTTAAAGTTTTGTTTCCTACAAAATTGATCACCGCGCTTCGTTTTACGTGTATCCTATCACTGGGGAGGGGGGGTTTCATACATTTTTTGTGCTGCTATTCATGTATTTCCAACCAAACGCAAATAAATGAATGTATTTTATTTCTATGCAAGGCAAAATACACATCTATTACTGCCTACTTAAAAAGAGGGTGACAATATTACATGGATGTGGCATTTGCATATTCACTTCTAACATGGCCCATCGATTCTGGATGAGTTTCCTTCTTCCCCTCCAGTTCATTTCAAAGCTACCCAGGCCTGAAGAGGGTGATTAAACTTAAATCTGATTTAACTTTCTGTTCCCACCCTCCCAAGGACAAAATTAAATGGAAATTTGCTATAGTGATTAAGGTGCCGGCCTAAAAACCAGGAGGCGGTGAGTTTAGTCCCGCCTTAGACATGAAAGCCAGCTGGGTGAGTTTGGGCTAATCACCAGGAGATTATGAGTTCTAGTCCTGCCTTAAGGCATGAAAGCCAGCTCAGTGACTTTGGGCCAATCACCAGGAGAAGGTGAGTCTTAGTTCCATGTTAGGTATGAAAGCCGGCTAGGTGACTTTGGCCCAATCACCAGGAGACAGTGAATTCTAGTTCCGTGCCAGGTATGAAGCTGGCTGGGTGAGTTTTGGGCAATCACCAGGAGACAGTGAATTCTAGTTCCGTGCTAGGTATGAAGTGGCTGGGTGAGTTTGGGCAATCACCAGGTGACAGTGAGTTCTAGTTCCCCCTTAGGCATGAAAGCCAACCAGGTGACTTTGACCCTGAACGTGGGACCCTTTCTGGACCCATACTAAAGACAAAACCCCTTTATTCAATATTTTTGCTTGGCTTTGGCTACATTAGGACTAGAGATCCATCCAAAAAGGGTTTATTTGCCTTTTATAAGAGCACCTAGACAAAAATCGAGTCACCTTTCAAGCTGAATCTTATTCTGTTTTCCAAGTCTTTTTTCAGAGGCATCCTATTTCCTGCAAAGTGAAGAATGGAAAGAGCTCCGAATCACAAATTATATCCTCACATTGGTTGCCTTTTAAAACATTCTGGTACGGGCAGAATCTTTATCGACTCGTTAGGGGAAATACTGCTATTATATTTTTTATTTCCTTTTTCTATTTCAAGGCCACTCAACTTCCCAGCGACGGGGGTGGTTTCCAATTAAAAAAAAGATTAAAAAGTTTTAAAAATTAACTTTTTTTTTAATGAAATAAAATTGGAAACAAGACAAAAATTAAAAAGAGACCATCATCTATCAAAAGAAAAGAATACAGCTGACTGGGAGACAGAATCAAAACCCCAAAAGGCTTAACCACCATCCTAGCCCACGAGAACAACCAAAATCACCCAACCAATATATATATATTGCCAGATTTTAGCCAGAGTTTTAAAAGACCTTACAAAGTGTTTTGTTGGGATTTTGGAGGATTTTGAACTGAGATCTTAGCCAGGATTTTAAGCATTTTAACTAACAGACTTTTAATGACGTGGGAAAACCACGAGATTTTAACTTTTTACATACACACACCAGCGAAAACTTATATATATATATCTCACAAGGGTGGAATCAGGATAAATCTTCAGGGAATATCATTCTGGAGGGCAGGAGCCATTACACTGATGACGTCAACTGAAATTGCAAATTCCATCCCTAAGCGACGGAATCATTAAGTGAGTCACACTCAATTTTATGACATGCCGCAGTCGTTAAGCGAATCACGCTGTCGTTAAACTAACCCAACTTCCCCCATCGACGTTGCTTGTTGGAAAACTGGCTGGGAAGTTTGCAAATGAGGATCGCGTGACCCTCCCACACGCACAGCCATCCTCAACGCGAGCTGGTTGCCCAAAGCCCCCAAACTGCAATCATGTGACGCTGGGGATGCTGCAACAGTCGTAAGTGCGAGGACCGGGTCGTAAGTCACTTTTCTCCAGCACCGTCATAAGTTCGAACGGTCAACTAAATGAACAGTCATAAGTCGAGGACTGCCTGTATTGAAAAAGCACCTCTCCTGGGTCCTTCAAAGTGATAGCAAGACCCCACCCCACCCCACCCCGACCTCAATGAATGGGTGGAAAACATGGAGACATTTCCTCAAATAAGAGTTGCTTTGCTTTTTCCCAACTAGGTTGCGAAAGGTTGTGGCTTCTAGAACTCCCGTGGCACTAAGCGTGCTCATTCGGCATCCAAGAAGGCCAAATGACATCATCGCCCTCGTTGTGTAAATGACACAAGTAAGGCAAATTAGGTAAATCGGTGCCAGGATGTCACAATGCACGCAACATTGCCGCATGAAAGCCCCTTTGGATTGGTGATTAAGGCGTCAGGCTAGAAACCAGGAGACAGTGAGTTCTAGTACCGCCTTAGCCATGAAGGCTGATTGGGTGACCTTGGGCCAATCACCAGGAGATGGTGAGTGCTAGTCCCGCCTTAGCCATGAAAGCCAGCTGGGTGAGTTTCGGCCAATCTCCAGGAGACAGTGAGTTCTAGTCCCGCCTTAGCCATGAAAGGCGGCTAGGTGACTTTGGGCCAATCACCAGGAGACAGTGAGTTCTAGTCCCGCCTTAGCCATGAAAACCGGCTGAGTGACTTTGGGCCAATCACCAGGAGAGTGTGAGTTCTAGTCCTGTCTTAGCCATGAAAGCCAATTGAGTGACCTTGGGCCAATCACCAGGAGACAGTGAGTTCTAGTTCTGTCTTAGCATGAAAACCGGGCTGGGTGACTTTGGGCCAATCACCAGGAGACAGTGAGTTCTAGTTCTGTCTTAGCCATGAAAACCGGCTGGGTGACTTTGGGCCAATCACCAAGAGACTGTGAGTTCTAGTCCCGCCTTAGAGATGAAAGGCAGGTGGGTCATTTGGGGCCAATCACTAAAAGATCCTGAGTTCTAATCCAGCCTCAGGGACGAAAGCCAGCTGGGTGACTTTGGGCCGGTCATTCACTCCCAGCCCAACCAATCTCACAGGATTGTTGTGGGGAAAATAGAGGAGGAAAGAGTATTAGGTATGCTCACCACTTCGAGTTATTTGTAAAAATAATAACAGATGGGATACAAACAAGCAAACAAACAAATAAATAAATATTCTATCAGATCTTAGAAACGTGTCATAACACGGGCCAGCTCCACATACTGACTTAAATCACAGTTTGATTAATGCTGGTTTCTTCCAACAAAACTGAGGACTCAGTCCTAAATCATGGTTGACAAACCCAGAAGGTCAAATAGGCGCTCCAGAATCTTTGTTTCCCCAAAACAAACTAACATCCTGGTTGTCTACATCCCAAGTGCCAAACAGATTTGGGATCCAAGCAGATTCCAAGAGACCTATTTGATCTCCTCTCTGGGCCTTTCAGTGGGACTGATCTTCTTTTACGACAGCTCCCCGGCCTTAAAATATGAAAACATCACTCCCAACACATTGATAACATCTGGTCTTGTCCTGAAGCACCATCCAATCTTCTTCCCCACCCACCCACCAGTGGTGGGATCCTTCCGGTTTAACAGCCGGTTCGGTGATCGTGCACTTCGCTGCGCGCGCGTGCGCAGTTCAACGAAAAATCACCTTCCGCATTAGTGCTAGGGAATTAAAACAGCTGAGGGGCGGCAATCTGTTCTGCCGCACTAATCAGCTGCGAAGATAAAGGTAAGTAAAGCACAGGAGTGGGCGAGCCTAACTGATCGTCGGAGTGAACCGGTTCACTCCCAGCTGATCATCGGAGCTACCGGTTCGCCGGAACCGGGCCGAACCAGTAGAATCCCACCCCTGCCACCCACCCACCCATCCACCCACCCAACCGCTCCTCCAAACCAGGAAGTAATCATGAAGGACCCTACCTGTGCTGGAACGAGCCTTAGGTCTGGATTTGCACCCAAATCCGGTTGGTGATCCCCCAAGCAGACTGCTTGGAGGGAAAAGTCCAGCGCCGTATTCAGGAACGTAGGAAGGATAAGTGGCGATCGGATGATGACCGGAAGATGACGCTCCTAAGGACGCCATGTTGCTCCGGGAATGAGACGATTCCAGCTTCATCGTTTCGGCCAGAGACACCTGATATTTAATGCACTCCTTCTCTTCTTGACGGCTGGACCCCGTGGAACCCGGGGTGGAGATGGAAGGATCCGGAGAGACATCTTTAGGAGGGGTCGGCGGGAAAGTGAAGAGATGAGGACTGGAGTGGCCCGCCGACAGCGTGGAGGTAGAAGCCGGAGGGTAGACCGAAAGAGGTCCCGGCGAGCCGTGGTGGATGGGAGCTTTGGAGAAAGGACTCAGATTCCATGGGGCAGCACCGTGGTGGCTTCCCAAAGCTTTGCTCCCATCCAGCCATGGGAGAGACCCGTGCAGCAAAGGTGGGCGACACACCTGGCTACCTGCCGGAACAGAAGAAGACAAAGGAGGCCTCTGTTAAGCGAGTTTCTCCTTGAACAGACTTCGGACAAAGATCAGGTGAAGAACCCAGCATGTCTAAACATCCCAACAAGGCCGCCCAATACAGGTAGTCCTCAACGTACGACCGCCATGGAGTCCGAAATTACCATCACTAAGCAAGACAGCTGCTGAGTTGAGATTGGCCTTACTTTATGACCTTCTTTGATGCAGTTGTTAAGTGAATCGCTGCAGGTTGTTAAATTAGTCACGTCATTGTTAAGGGACTCTGGCTCCTCCATTGATTTTGCTTGTCAGAAGGTCTCAAAAGGCAATCACATGACCCCGGGGCACTGCAACAGGCATAAGTACATGCCAGTTGCCCAGCGTTCTGAATTCTAATCGCATGACCACGGAGGTCACTTTTTTTCAGTGCCTCTGTAACTTTGAGCGGTCACTAAACAAATAGCTGTAAGTCAAGAACTATCTGTGCGTTTCGTTTTGCATTTAAGGAGGTTAAAGATCTAATGATGTGGGGAAAGCAATTTTCAGCCTACTGGCTTTTGGAAGTCTCATGAAGACCCTTGTCTCTTCCCTTAGACTGGGCTTCATCGTTCTATATATACAGGTAGTCCTCGACTTACAACATTTCATTCAGTAACCGTTCAAAGCTACAATGGCACTGGAAAAAGTGACTTATGACCCTTTTTCAAGTTAACGTCCTTTCCAGCATCCCCCTGGTCACGTAATCCACATCCAGGCGCTTGGCCACTGGTTCATACTTATGACCGTTGCAGCATCCCGTGGGGGGGGAGGGGTGTCACACAATCCCCCTTTTGCAAGCTTCCGACCAGCAAAATCAACGAGGAAACCAGATTTGCTTAACCACGATAGGGTTAGTAACTTTATCAACTGCAATGATTGGTTTTAAGCACCACCGTGGCGAGAAATGTCGTAAAAAGGGGGCAAAGCTCACTTAACGAATGTCTCACTTAACAAACAGAAATGCCTGGGCTCACATTGTGGTTGTTAAGTCGAAGAGGACCTGTGCATACAAGGGTCCTCGTGAGAATGGAGACCTTTTCGATATTCACAAACCCACACTCACACACACAAAAACCATTGTAAAGGGAAAGAAATGGAACAATTATTCTACACACACACACATATTTATGTATGTATGTGAGTGTGTGGGTATATATATATATGTGTGTGTGTGTGTGTATAATTGTCGTTCCATTTCTTTCCCTTTACAACTATTTTTGTTATATATATATATATATATCACTGATAAAGAAATAAAGGGAGACTAGTATAGATCTATTTCAAGCTATTTAGCTCTCATCAGCTAGCTATACCCTTACTTGGATTCGAACTTGCGCTGCCTGCATTTTAGGCAGTTGTATTAACCTCTGAGCCACAAGTTCTCCTCCTTTCATCAGCTTGAGCCAGGGATGCAGTATGCTCCCTCCCACATGCTGGGTAGACCAGGTGTCTCAATAGAAAAACACTTATATATATATATATATAAGCCTAGGATAGTGGATGTGATTTCACTGAGCTATGGCTGCAATTTGAGAAACTTGGTTTACGTAGGAAAATACCTGGTTGAAGAAACATACAAAAACCTACGATAAGAGAAGAAAGCAAATACTTAGCCTCTACGGAGAGGGAACATATGGTAAGGGTGTGGCTAACTGATGAGGACCAATCAGTCCGAAATAGATCTATATTAGTCTCCCAAAAGGCAGCAAAATGCATGCTTGCTGTCTGAAGAAGCCTAGGATAGTGGATGTGATTTCACTGAGCTATGGCTGCAATTTCAGAAACTTGGTTTACGTAGGAAAATACCCGGTTGAAGAAAAATGCATACAAAAACCTACAATAAGAGAAGAAAGCATACACACACACACAATATGTGTATGTGCATATAATTGTTGTCATTCCATTTCCTCCCCTTTACAACTGTTTTTGTCCATGTGTTAGCATGTGACTATCAAATATATATACACATGTACAGTATATACACGTGTGTGTGTATTATATATCTATTGCGTTGTTGTTGTTCCATTTCCTCTCCTGTACAACGATTCTTGAACCGCAGACAGTTTCTAAGGGTCAGTTGGCTTTCCACCATTTCCTCTATGAAAGCAGACGACATCCAAAGAAGGAAATGGAGTCGGGGCTCTTTCAAAACCTGAGGGAACTCAACAAAGGCACCTTGAGAAGTGAAAGACCTGGGCCCCCATCTAAATTGTTGTCAATAAGTACGTCACCCCAGCAAATTTTAACCTGCCAAATCAAAAAAAGAAAAAAGAAAAAAAAAAGAGATAACTCCAATCTTCTCTTCAAATCAGGACCGTGTAACGGGTCGTCCTCGCTTTACGACCGCAAATGGAGCCCAATGTTTCTGCTGTCGAGTGAGACATTTGTTAAAGGAGCTTTGCCCCATTTTACGACTCTCCTTGCCACTGTTGTTCAGCGAATTCCCGCAGTAGATTAAGTTAGTAACCCGGTTGTTGAGTAAATCTGCCTTCCCCGTTGACACTGCTTGTCAGTAGGTCGTAAAAAGAGGATCATGGGACCTTACAACCGTCATAAATATGAGTCAGTTGCCAAGTGTCTGAATTTTTGATCACGGGACTGTGAGGATGCGGCAATGGTCGTAAGCGTGAAAAAGGGTCCTAACTAAGTCACTTTTTTCAGTGCCGTCGTCACTTTGAACGGTCACTAAATGAACTGTTGTAAGTCGAGGACTGCCTGTCCCCACGGCTTGCCCCGTGAGTATGGGTGGGAATGTTCTTGGCGGTTCCTTGATAGGCCACCATTCATTGCTTAACACAAAGTTTTGACAGTTCCTTAATTGGGGTTAACACTGACAGGGCAAACCACATTTCCTTCGAGCATTGATACTGTTACCTAGCTGGGTCATGAAATGTCTGCAGGAAAGCAGCCAAGCACCAGGAAACCCCAAACAAGCTGCTACTTTACCTCTGTACAATCCTCCTGAACATATAGTTTTGGCACCTTCAAAACCCCCCAAAGAAGAGAGTTGTTGTTGTTCCTGACCGTAGCGTTGTGACAATGAGCCACACTGCCCCCTCGGTGGGCCTAGGATGACAAGTCATCCTGGCTAAATTCATTGACCGCCATTTTGGGCTACAAGCTTTATGAGGGAAGGGTCTCTACCTGACTATATCAGGGGACATCGAAGAGGTGTCACAAATCAGACAGCGGAGAAGATGCTCAGGTCCTTCACCCCATGAAATGGTGGCTACGCCAAGAAGTTCAGCTGTATCATTTGTGGGATATCTTAAAAGCTTTCCTGCATTTTCCCATCTTCACAATCCCTCATAATCCACACCTCTTTCCTAAGAATATGCCCTCCATGTCTCTGGAGGTATAATCCCCATTTTGTCACCCTGTTCCTACCAGCTGAGGAAGATGGGTATCATACGGTAGTTCCATGTATCTGTAGAATTGGGGGTGAGGAGGCCCCAGGAGCTAAACAATCTCGCTCCAAGTGAAGGCTTACACACGCAAAGCAAAACTAGTTTGATAAAAGATGCTAGAAAATAATAAAATAAAAAATAAAACGAGAAACAGACAAGAAAATAAAAACAAGAGACCCATCCAATTGCAATTTTCTGATACTTCAAATAAACCTAGCCAGAATTTAGTAGCTTCAGATATTAGATTTTTTTTCCCCCCTGGGACAAAAGCTTTAAAAATCGAATTAAGCTCTTTGCATATATGAATCGTAACCCTGTTTTCTTTTCCTGCAAAAAAATAAAAAGGAGGTTTTATAACTTTTGTTTTTCTTTCCCTGCTGGAAAAATAAAACCCTTTCACTTCTCAATTTCTTTGCTTGAAATGGCTTTCTGTCAAAGCCAACGTACCAAGGAGAGAGTGATGTCTTATATGATAAATATATTTAAGGGTTAAGGAGTTATTTGTGAAAACAAACGAACTTCTGAAAAATCATTTAGCTGGGAGGGGGGGAGCTTTCATTCTAACATGTATCATCAATTAAATATCCGAGGAAAGGTTGTGAAAATTCAAATAAATGAACTGGGAACTTATTTCTTGGTAAAATTATATACGATCAAGTTTAACCCTCGGATACATCTTTCTATACAGTACTGAATCTTTCAATTCATAATTTGAAGGTACGTTTGACTGGAATAAAATGAGCTAATTCCTAGTTATTGGCCATAAGATTTGCCAAATCTGGGTTCCAAATTTCTTGGAAATTTAGCCTAAATGTTGAGAGGTGGTACGGATGAAGAGTTGGCCATTAGTCACCTAGAGCTTGGTAAAAAAAAAATTTAATAAATGGATGACTATATAAATGTTTTAAAATAAAGAAGACAGAAGCTGCATTTAATATACTTTGGAAGCTAGATCTGAATAAGGATCTAACCTGCTACGGTTTTGAGTATCTATTGAGAATCATTTTAATTCTCTGGAATTAACCATTTAGTCAATATCCTTTCCACTTCCCACTAATAATACTTTTACCCAGAAATTGCCACCGCATATTCAAGGTGGTGATTTTTTTTTTTTTTGCTTTGAATTACATCCTTAACAGGGATAACCAGTTCCTCTGAAAATCTTATGATTCTTGATGAATGTATTTTTTACGTACGCTGAGAGCTTATGCACCAAAGATAAATTCCTTGTGCGTCCAATCAACACTTGGCCAATAAAGAATTCTACATCTAAAGAATTCTAAATATTGTAGATTTCCACCACAGCCCATTTAGGAGAGGGGGAAAAAAATCTAAATTTCTTCAAAGCAAGTTCCACTGTTTTTCAAAGAAGTTGAGGGTTTTATTCACATATATATTTTTGCTAGAAGTTCTGATGAAGATTGGTGAGATCGCCAAAACCATCCAACCTTAGACACCTCTCGCCAACCCTGCTGAGTCTCTATTAGGTGCTGTAACTATACCACTTAACCGACTAGTTCTTGTGGGTATGAGCAAGTGACCGACCCTGCCAG